CAAGGTGGCAGCGCGTGTAGACGGACTCTCCATCTGCCGAATCTGCACCCAGGTGGTTGCTGGGAACCACCCAGACACCTACGGGCTTCACCCGCATACTCAGGCCGTCGCGTGTTGCGAGAGAGGTCGTGGAAGAGTACAGGGAGGGTGGGGCACTGGATTTGTGGTCGACTTCCTCCTCCACATCCATAACGAAGAACTGAATGCAATTTCGAGGAGTGGAGATGGCGGTGAAAGGGTTGGCGAAGTAGGAGGGAACGTCAACATCGCGGGCTGAAAGTGAGAAGTCAACGTAAAATTTGTAGTTTTAAATTATGATGTTTCGTAAACACGATATTATGCTTTTTAAAAGTCTGGGCGTTTTATGCGCGAGTTTAGAGCAACGGCGGCACATTTCAGCATCCAATAAAAACATTTCGCCCCGACTGAGTAGAGTCCACCTTCCATACTATTCGTCCGCGCCACTAGGTCAGGGTTGCGGAGCCCGTCGCTTTCTGCCGGAGCCGCAACAGAAATTGTAATAATTGAACCAGACACTTTTCATGGGGGTTCTTTGGGAGTTGGAGTATAGGAGGGTGCCAGACAGCCGTATGAGTTGTTTGCTGCAGCTAGTTTCCTCTAGCGTATTGGCAGTAAAACCCACTCTCAAGCCAGCAATGGCCAGCAGACGCTTTTAATGCAGATCCAAGTTTGCCATGACATAGCGTCATCCAGCTTTGAGGTACTGATTAGGGTACTCGGGGTTTCCGGCCCCAACCATCTGCGCCCCAGCAAAAATGTTTTTGATAGTCCGCGACTGCTTATTCATTAGACACGAAAACCTGCTTATTTCACAGACAACCCCTGATGAATCCATTCTACGATCCGACAGTTCCCCCGTCGATTTCGGCTATGGGCAGCCGCGTGCTCCAACAAACCGCAGCAAACGCTGAAGCAAGCCGAAGCAGACACTGGGGTTAGCTGCATGAAGGCTACAGTAAGCTGAAGCAACGCAGCGAACTGTCGCGAATGAAAAAGAGTCAAAGCAGACTTGCAGGGAATCTACCCACTCGCTCGCCGTTCCAATCTTTGTTTCCGTTGTAAAGACAGAGTGAGTAAGACCGGGGATATGGGAGGGTGATTCTACCCTCCACCGACAGTTCGACCTTCGATTTTGACGAGGCCCACTGTGTGACATAATAAATGGTGGGCACAGGAACAGTAATTTGCACGTGAATTAGTTCACGATGACAGTGAATTTGCGCGGCATCTGACACACCCTCTCCTCCCTCACCTGGGCTCAGTGTCCACTACGCGTGCACAGACAGCAACTGGACAAGCGGGTGAACTCGTCTTCCCGGGAGTCACGCGGGTGACCTCAAGCCTAGCTATGGCACCAACGCAAGCTCCACCGAAAGCTTTTAGCACTCACAAAAGGACCTCCACTGAAGGGTGACCTGCTTTCTTGCTTCCTTTTCTCTTGCACAGCCCCGCTTTACAAGGCTAACAGCCATCTTGTTTGCTTTTTAGCACTGCTAGCTGACGCATTTACCGGACACACCATCAGCCCAGTGTGTGTGAAGTGGCTGATGAGTGCACTGGGAGTCAGAAGGCACCAGCTCCTTCAAATCCCCCGCTTATGTGTATCCTGGTGTATGTCAAGGGGGCCAGGTCGTGTCGTGGCGCGTGTAGACGGGTTCGCAGGCCCTGTTAGTCACTGCGCCCGTCTCAAGTCGGGCGACGGGTAGGCATGTGCCAGACTTCAGCAAACCACGGTCCC